TGCAGGCCGCGGCTTACAAAATTCCAGCAAAAGAAAGAAAGGGAGGGCGGGAGAGACGAAGTGCAAGAAGAGAGATACAGTTACAATGGCGCCGGTCCAAAATTACAGTTACACATACGATTAAGGGCGCCCACTAATCAGAGTACCGTTGCAGCCGCATGAAGAAGCGCGAAAACAAAAGGCACCGCGCGGCAAGAAAAATCCTAATTACTGAATTCCTAAATTCCTATCTAATGCGAAAAAGCAAAAAGCACGAATTCTAGAAGGAAAGTCAAAAAACTCCGAGAGCCATCGGGGGGGGCTCGGCAAAATTCGAAAAAGACTCAAAGGAAAGATTTAAAAGAACGAAGCAATTTCCCGCGCGATGTCCGCGCCCAAAAGATCGAAACCGAAACGAAAGAAACGACGTCAACATTTATTAATCGCGCGCGCGGTGGCGCGCCAGACATCCATCCGACCAATCACTCAACCGGCCATCCCAAGACACACCCAGCTCCGTTCCCAGTCATCCGACAAGAAGCGACGAAAAAGACGAAAAAGCAAGGGTACTGATGCAACCTTCCATCGATCTCGATTTCCCGTAATTGGCCCAATCTTCCCAGCTTAGGACCCCTCGTGGCAACCGCGCAGGAAGTCGCGCGTTACAGAAAGTGGTTCGTCACATATGTGACGCCCAAGGGGTTCCAATATTAGCAAGCTCCTGCTTGCTTGTTGACACGTGTCGATTTCTCTAATCGATCGACACGCGGAGCACTTCTCTTTATGCCACTTACCGTTCGATTGCGTGCGGACGTCATCCAACGTGGCAACTTTGCTCTTCTACTACTTCCTCAGATTGGGCTCTCGACGGTCCAAGGACGAGATTTTTCTCGTGCCGTTACCGCGACACGCATCCATTACCGGTTGCATCAGTAATTAACTGGAAGGGGAAAAGGGAGCCGATGCATGGCGGCATGGCGGGGTGGAGGGCATAGGGGTAGCGGGGGCAGGAACCTTTCCATCCCGGCTGCAGATTCTGGAAGCGCTTGGTAGCGGACGATGCGGTGGAAGCGGGGGAAACGGTTGCCAGTGCGAGGGATGGACGCGAGGTAATCAGGATAGAGGGTGATGAGAGTTCGGAAAAGTGCCGCGCGGAAACGATCGCGATCTTCGCAGGCGGGGATGGTCCCCGTTACTATGCAATAAACCTCGATCATATTGTGGCCTCGCCACGCGGCACTAAGGAGCAAAACATGGAGGCAGAAGGTTGGGACGGCGCATTGAATGGAGGGGTGGAGGTGCACTACTATAGCGAGGCGAGCAACATAGAAGTGGCGGAAGGTATCGCGGGGAAACGGGTTGGAGGGGAACGTGATGGGGGTGGTGAGCTGGCGGAGGGTAAGGTAGTCAAGAGGATGGCGAGAGAGTAATCGGGGACGAAGGCCGATCGCCCGTATCGGTACGTCGGCGAACTGGGGGACGGGTTGGGGAGGAGGGGGATCGGCTCCGTCGCCGCGTTGATGGGGTCGGAGTCGTGGCCGTGAGGTCGCCATGTTCTGGTCGGGGCGGCTCCGGATCTTGGTTTGGGTCGTCGTGGACGTGCAAGCTTGCTCCGCTCGCAAACTCTAGTTCCCTCTTCCCGGCCGCAGTTTCTTCTCTTTTGCGGGCCGCCTCCGGATCTTCAGCCTCCGTGCCCGTGCGCAGCGCTTCTTCCGGCACAGCTTCCCACTCCGATTCCGCAGGTCCTTCTTCGTTCTCCTCTTTTCCTTCGTTGTTTTCTTCTTCTTCTTCGCTCTGCTCCCCCTCGCTATGCTCGCTATAGCTTCCTTCTTCGGGGGTTTCGTCCTCTTCCCCGAGTACTTCGTCGCTTTCCCCGCTTTCTTCCCGCTCGTCTTCTCCTTCGTCACTCTCAGTGCTTTCTTCCTCCTCTTCTTCCTCTGGAATGACAGCAAGCTGCTCTTTCGTTTGATGCCTGAAGAAGGCAGGATCACACACCGTTAGGGGATCCAAATACTGCTGCTGCGACGGCGGGATGCGCTCTGCGGCTCCGTCCACACAAGCCGACCACTGGAGATACGGCGTCAACGTGCGAGAAAGTACATGAGGAATTGGGTGCTCGTCGTCTTGCGAGATGATGTCGAGAGGGAGATCGTCCGCCAGCTGCGCCACCGGGATCGCGAGCTCTTGCGCGACGAGTTCTTGATGTCCGGGCCGTACTGTACCGAACAGAAACGCGAGGAGTTCTCCCTCCACGTTGGTTCGCCAAGCCTGGATGAACAGCAACTCCAGGCGCTCTATGCAAGGCGGGCGCGCCTCGTCCTCGGTCCACGTCAGCCGTACCTCGACCAAGCACAGTGAAAGCTCGACGAAGTCTTCGCGCCACAGTTCCCAGTGTGGGGGATGAATGTCGGGGACAGCAAGGGTCGTTAGACAGTAGGAAAGGCGAGGATGGATATCGGACCGCCAAAAGGTGGGGAAGGTGGAGGGGAGATAAAAAACGGAGATCGGAGAGAGACTCATTGGGGGTGAGGGAAGGGAACAACAACAGGGAGAACCGCCGGTGGATCACGCCGGTACATCCGAAGGCCGTCGTATTCGATTGCTCGTGTCGGCGCGACCGTGTCCCCGGGGCGAGCCAAAATCTGGGTCCACTCGGCGACCAGATCGTTTGCCCACGCGCGCAGCGATGTCCTCACCGCCGAATGTCGTAAAGGGAGGAGCGTGGAGAGATCGCCACGGAAGTTGATGACGACCGATATGCGGCTGACACCTGGCACCGCTCGCTGATGAACTGCTACTGCCTCGGCTAGTACCACTGCGTTGGGCCGGTCCTCGATTCTAAACACCGCCGCTGCATACACGCCTTCCGTGCAGAAAAAGTGCGCAAGCCGCCGAAGATCTGGACTGAGATGGGGATGATAGACTTTCCGGATCATCAATCGATCACGGGGTGCAAGCGATAATTCGTTGAGGGCCCTTTCCTCCAGAAAACTCATGGCGATGGCGATGGAGATGGAGAGGCAGAGAGGGAGCAAGAGGAAGAGGGGGATGGCGGAGAGTCAGAGTCGTCGTCTTCGACTTTCTCAGAAGGGGAGATCGAGGGAGAAGGAGACGGAGCAGAGGGGAGGAGGTGAAGATAGGACACGTGGCGTGAGATCGGGGGGGCCGATCGGCTGCCAGAGGCTTCCGGGGCGAGACGCACAGTGTCCACGCCGTTGGGGCCGAGATCGATCACGCGATATCGCCCGAAGAATCGTGGCGCTAGCTTACCCTGGCGAGCACATTTCCTCATCTGCACCACGTCCCCCAATTTGTACTGGGGCCGTGGACCCGCATTCCCATTTCGGGCCTCGTAGCTCCAGATCTGTCGGCCTTGGGCTAGTTCGGTCATTTTCTGTCGTTTTCGGGCTAGCCTGGGCAGTGACCGTTCCATTAGCTCTAGGTGTCGTTTGGCCTTGTCCCTAGCCGTGGCCCTAGTGGGACGTCGGTTCACTGTAGACTCGTCCGGGAGGCTTGGTATTGAAACGCAAGCGACGCTATTGGTCCTTAATTGGAAGGGGCTCAGCCCCGTCGATTCGTGGGGCGTTCCGCGATGGACCGCCAGGATGTGATCGACGATATCGGGCCAGGGTCTCGATCCCGTGCCGTGATGTTACGTCGCAATGCTGTCTTTATCACCCGGTTATCGTTTTCGACCAGTCCATTGGATTGGGACATATGGGGTGCAGTGTTACGTATGGCGACGCCATGTAGGACCAGATTCCTTAGTACTTCTCCCCTGAATTCAGCTTCGTTGTCGGTCAGGATTTCTTCCGTATCCTGATGCATCCCGAGGAAACGGTTGACATACCGCGCGATTTCCGTGGCTTGCCGCGTGCGACAAGGATACGCTTCGATCCATTTCGAGAAATGGTCGACAAATACCAATAGGATTGAATATTCGCAGCTATTAGGACCAGGGGGCACCACTATGTCGGTAGTGTCCATGCTCACTCTTTGAAATGGCCGTTCAACAACCGTGGGCACTATCGATCTTGGCGGCTGAATCGGCGCATTGTCAGCGGCGCAGACCTGACAGTTGGCGACAATGTATTTCACATCGTCGCGGATATTGGACCAATACCACTCATTTTTGTCGATAGTGGACTCCGTTATTCGTACGGCAAAATGAGCCGCAGTTTCCTCATGGGTTGTCTTAACCCAGTCGTACCGCATGAACGGATGCGGCACTACCATCAAAATCCCACTACCGTCCGTTTTTCGTTTTTCTTATCTACCCTCTATCCATCGATAATCCCGAGCCCTTTCGTTGGCCCTCCTCCGATCTTCTTTAGTGAAATCCTGGAGGGGGTTACCTACTAGGGTGGCAATCAAGGCAATATCCGTCCATACTTCGACCCTTCTAAACTTCCGGGTCTTTTCCAATCCTTCTGACGTGGGATCCAAAAAGCGAGCCTCTGTCGGAATCTTGTTGGTCCGGCACAAGGGGCACAACCACGATTTACTATCGTTTCTGTATTGGATGCACGAGCAATGGGCTCGTGCGACGCACTGTCGACAATCTATCCAATCGACATACCCTTCTCCGTTAGGACAGGTGGAGACCGAGTATACGAGGGAGATGGCTTCGCAAAAATAGCAAAATTTGTCAGGCAGGGAGAGGAGAGACGAAGAGGAAGGGGGGGAGAGAGGGGTAGTGGGGTTACCTCCGTCACCCATCGCCACCGTTTTGCTTCTTGCCACGTGGGAGGACTGCCACTTGTCCGTACTTAGGCTCGTTGGTCAGGTCCGGCTTCTTCCACGGTGTAATTTCCTCGCCCTTTGGTACCTTGACAGGTCGGTGCAGACGTGTCAGCCCGTCCGCATTGCCATGCCGTTCCGTCTTTCGATGGACGATATCGAAGTCGTATTCTTGTAGTCGCACCGCCCAATGGCCAATCATGCCCGTGTAGTTGGTGAGTTTCTTCAGCGCTAGCAGAGGCTCGTGATCCGTTACAAGGCGAAACTTCTGTCCGTAGAGATACGGATGGAAGTGTTGGATTCCCCAAACTACCGCATAGCACTCGCCTTGAGGTGCGGAGTCGTTTCTTCGTTCGTCCGGTATGGTTCGAGACGCGTACTCGATGACGTGTTCGCGACCATCGTTCCCCTTCTGTGCTAGAATAGCGGAAATAGCTTCCGGTTGCCAGTCCGTGATGAGAATGAACTGCTTTGAGGGGTCCGACCGAATCCAAATAGGGGCCGTTGCCAGAGCGTCTTTGAGGGCTGCAAAGGCCTGCTGGCACTCCGCGTCCCAACTGAGAGGTTGGTCCTTCCGTAACAGGTTCGTTAGCGGTCGTGCAATCGCGGCAAAGCCCTTGATGAAGCGCCGGTAGTACGACGCCAGTCCCAAAAAGGCTCGAACCTGCGTTAGTGACGTGGGAACCGGGGATTCCTTTACCGCCGCCACTTTTCTCGAGTCCGGCCGCAATCCTCCACGTGTCACGACGTAGCCCAAGAACGAAATTTTCGATAGGAAAAATTCGCTTTTCTCGAGCGCAATTTTGAACCCAGCATCTCTCAATGCGCCCAATGTCCACTCGATGTGTTGCACGTGCCCATGATAGGTCTCCGAATAGACCAGGATGTCGTCCATGTACACGATCACACAGAAGTTGATCATCCCTTGCGTCAGCCGTGTCTTGTTGACGAAATTCTGGAACGTCATGTTCATCGCTCGCTGAAACGTGGCAGGCGCATTGCAAATCCCCATCGGACACCAAACCCACTGCCACGTGCCCTCAAACAACACAAAGGCCGTTTTCGGTCGATCTTCTTCCCTTACCAGAATATGATGGAAGTCATGCCGAATATCAAACTTGTTGAAATAATTAGCGCACCCAATCGCATATAACAAATCATCAATCCGGGGGAGGGGATACACATCTTTGATCGTGATTTCATTCAGCTTGCGATAATCAATGCAAATGCGAATCGCTCCGTTCTTCTTTGGTACTAACACTACAAGAAAGGACCAGGGTCCAGTAGCGGGTTCAATCCAACCGCTGGCTTCGAGATCCCGAATTCGTTCGAGAGCCTTTTTGCGTTCAATCAAGGAATAGCGATAAGGTTTGCAATGAATCGGGGGGTGATTTCCTGTCTGAATTTCATGTTGGATTACTAACGACAACCCGATGTCAGTGTCCGACACACTAATTGCTCCTTGGTATTCCATTAGAATATCCGCAATCACCCGATGGATTTCATCCGGCACATATTGTGGAACTTGCAGTTCAAAAAGTTGGTCCCAGATCCGAACGTCAATCTGTTTCGTGTTCGCTTGTTTTGTCAAGTCGGGTGGAGGCGCCGAGATGAATGAATGATCAGATCGCTAGGAGAACACCGTGGCCATCATCTGAGCATCTTCTTCTCGGATTGCCACGTCCTTCCGGGGTAATCCCGTCGCAGACATTCTGCCATGGCACTTCCTTAGTTGCAATCCTTATCCTCTGTCCGTCTGTTTCTGCTTCAAAACGCGCAGGGGGTTCCAGAGAGCTTGCTTCCGCCCCCAAGCGTAACAATCTCACTTCTTTAGCCGATGTTAGTAAAGACCTAGGTAGTTCCGTAATGTCGCAATAATGCTTTTTGTCGCTATACCTGGCGAGGAGAGGGGTGATCCCTTCGTACAGAGTTTGAGGGGGTTCCAAAGAGTCGATCATCCTCGAAATCTGCACGAGGGGCTCTCCCAAGATCATTGCTGTGGTCCTTTGAATTTTTCGGCTGGTTAGTTGCATCGTTCTTGCTATCGTTTTGGGTGGCGGGTAGTAAACGCGTTGTCGTACCAATTTCAAGATCTCCGGATCATCTTCGTCACTGCTTTCCACATCATCAGTTGATGGCTTTCCTTCTGCGGGTTCGTCCCAGGAGATCATGCGGAAAGTCCCTGCTATCATCGGCGAAATCTGCGGAACCACTTTAATAGTAGTGCGAAGGGTCAATCGCATGGGCACAGCGTAGGATTTTCCTCCTGTATTTCGGAGGACGATCGATCGTCGTTCGAAATCCAGGTTTGCTCGTAACGCCACAAGAGCAGGAAGTTCGAAAAGAACGCCGTATGTATTAACATCTAGTACTACGACATCCCCAAACGCGTGTACTTTTCGTACTCGGAAGGCGACGTTGGTCATTCTCCCCACAATTTTAATCTTTTCCTCATCTGCCGAGACGAGCTGATCTTTCTCGGTGAGCATGATCAGATCGTTTTTCCTGCCTGCCCTTTCGACCACTCTCAGTGAAATAGCCAACACAGCTGCTCCTGAGTCTATAATTGCGTTGTAAGGAATTTCCCAAATTTCTAAATCGCACTCTGCGGATTTCCACGGAATGGGTTTAATCCGTAGGAAATGATCGTCTTTCTGAATTAATCCTAACCGTATCGGATCCGGAGTGTTTGTTGGGTCTTCTTCCGGCGCGGGGCCTTTGGCTTTTACGTTCGGTGCTCGGGCGAGGGCGAATCGCTTTCGATTCGCTTTGCAATGCTGTAACATTCGCTCGTTGGCTTGCTCGGAGATCGAGAGTAGGTGACCGATCGGAAGGGGAATCCGATGGTCCAAAGCTCGGACGATGTTTAATACATCGATCTCCCCTATGACGAAGGTGGGTCCTCCCGACTCCATTTCTCCTAAGGACAGTCGCCACTCCGCCACCTCTTTTGGTTCTGGCGTTGGTCTGATTGTTTCGATCATTCCTAGCCCAGGATATCCCAGCGATACGTACTGATCTAGCGGAATTAGCTCGGCGGCCTCTTCCGTGGTGGCCAGGGCACTTCCCCCACCCTCTACTTCTTCCATCAAGGCTCCGACTCGTCCAGGTCCGTTGGCGATGGGGGCCGCGGCCATAGGTGCGACTCCGATCCGCTGTTGTGGGGTTCGGTGGGGGCAGTCACGGGCTAGATGTCCCGGCTGATGACAGGCGTAGCAAACATTCAGATTGTTCGCAGCTCCTCCGAGAGCAGGGGCGGGGGCTAATCCTTGTTGCATCGGAGGGGCACGCACCGCAATAGGTCGCATGTTCCTCATCATGGCTTCCAGCCGAGCATTGTGCTCTCGCTGCTCCTTTTTGCTTTCTTGGATCAAACTAATCAAATATTTGGTTAGTTCGAAAATGGTCGCCGATTCGTTTGATCGTACAGGAGCCTCTACCAGCGGCGGGGGGAATGCCCTGACGGGCGGGGGCATCATAGGAGCAGAGATGCTCGGAGTCTCACTTAGGATTACTCGTTTGGGGCCTATCTGTTCCATATAGGTGACAGGTCCTGATACGAACCCCATGTTTTCAAATTTGTTTTGTAAGGCAGCCAGCTCTGCTCTTGCTCGAGTGAGCTCGGTCGAATCTCCGTCTCTAGGGTAATCTTCTCCTTCCAGGAAGTCCGCTGCGAACTTCCGTTCCATTTCTTCCGCAACAGCCATAATTTGTTGTAGCGTATGGGTGATGGGGGAAAATTGCTTTCGCAACTTAGCCCTTATTGTTCGACTGCGGAGTCCGTCAATGAACAGATCTCTCCCTACTTGCTCACCTCGCTCAGTTTTTACGAACATTCTGTAGAACCGGTTTCGATATTCCGCGACGGATTCGAGCGGTTTTTGTACTCGATCCTTGATCATGTACAGCGCTTGCTCAGGGTGGACATTATCGAATCGGTTCAAAAAGTCCCGCTCGAAGGTTGGGAGATCCACCCATACATAGGTACTATACCAATGATGAGCATCTCCTCCCATTCGAGCCGGAATGTTGATATGTGCTTCGTGATCATCGTACTGCTGTGCTCTAAGCGTGACCAGCCATGCTCCTGCGAGATGGTGCGCCGGATCAAATAGATAGAGATCTGGTGGTGACATGGGAGCTCGTGCACGTGGGGCAGGTTGATTAGGTGGATTAGCATTTTGTTGCAGAACTAGATTTTGCACGTTGGCAGCCATATTGGCTGCTCGTCGGTTTGCCGATCTGCTTCTGGTGACGATAGGGTCGCGTCTATGCGCGTTCCGAGGGCGAGCTCGCCCACGGTTAGCTAGGTCGCCTAATTAACGTGCTATCAATCCTAAGGCCCTAGCCACGTGTCGGGCTCCGATACCAACCTCACGCCCAGCGCGACTTCCTGATCGAAGTGGGATGTGGGCCTGGAAGTGCGAAAAGGGGTGTGCCAAGGATTTTTGGGGAAAGTGGGGGAGTCTTAAGGGTATGAATGCAATTAGGCGGGTACTCACGGTCCGATGGGGCCAGGGCACTGTGGGCGATGGGTTACGGGAAAATTCCTCCGTGGTGGAGATGGTCCTGAAGAGTTAGGCCGTCGGGGGCCGCCACGTGGCGCAGGCCGCCGCGTGCCTGGGTTGGGCCTTCGGGATTCCGGGGCTCTTTGTGTGCCGCAGCGTCGACAGTTTACACAAAACGTGTTGGGCCAATAGGGGGCTATGGCCGGCCACGGAACGACACTGAGGTGATGATACGGGAGAAGGAGGCGGGAAGGAGGGAAACTGGTGGTGATCTCAACGAATCCCGGGTGGGTGAAGTAGTAGGTGTGGTCGGGGGAAGGGAAATCGGAGCACCGAGGGTCGCTAGTGGTGGCATAGTGGAATTCCCGCGGACATAGCTGATTCTCCGTGTGACAAGGGTATCGGGTCCTTATGAGCTCGTTTATTATAGGGGTGAAATAGTCCGGGTCATAGGACGAGTGTGAGCCCCAAGATCGCGTCATGGTATCATTGCGGATGGGATAGTGAGCGAGTCGACGCGCGGGAATGCGTGCAAGGGCGCGACTCGGATCGCGTTTACACGTGTTCTCGTGCGGCGCTCGCGGGGCCAGACTTCGCRYCTAATTGCTTCGTAAGTCTCRGTTATGCAAGATRCAATCATACCACATCCTCATCAGGGGACAAGCAAAAAYGAAATCTACATCGGGGCCAGACTCTTATCCCATCTATCGCTGCACCTGGYGCAAGCAAAGATTCGRCACAAACAAAAAGCAAGGGCAGGGATTTTCCGCAAAAGAGATAGGCAAGGAGGCATAACATTCATGCATCCATACATTCGACAATCATACACATAATGCAAGCAAAAGCAGACATCGCGAAGACAAATGTGAGCAAAAATCCAAGCCCAGATTTCAGAAAGCCGAAACGAAAATAAAAACGGGCAARCSGCCCGGARYCGTAATCAAAATGTATGTACACAGGTGAAGAGGGGGAAGAGACAAAGAAACCGCAAATCCACGTCCATCATCCTCAACTCTCTCTTCCTCTCTCTCTCTCTCTCTCCGATGCGGACAGTCCGTCGTCACGCACCAACCCACGAAGTTGTMACCCCGCTTAGTCCTCCCGYACCCGTCRGATTCGCCYGTGCCCACAGTCYGTCGTGRCCCACGTCAATCCCGCGCGYTCGGCACCAGCCCGTCGGGTCGYCCAACTCCTACTCTACTCACCTCTTACTTCGCTCGTGTGCCGACCCTTCCTGRTCGCGCAACCCYGAGCTTCCAACAACGGGTTAAGAGAGCTCACTAATCGCGCAGCCAAAATTTATAGCGTGCATGCATGCGCGAAGAACGCGGAATWACTAGGACTTAGAGTGAGGGTTAGAGAAAGGACGCCTGCGTTCTGCATGATCGGCCGCGGCGTGGGGGAYGTAACCCTTCTCCACGCATCGATCCGAGCATGCAGGCCGCGGCTTACAAAATTCCAGCAAAAGAAAGAAAGGGAGGGCGGGAGAGACGAAGTGCAAGAAGAGAGATACAGTTACAATGGCGCCGGCCCAAAATCACAGTTACACATACGATTAAGGGCGCCCGCTAATCAGAGTACCGTTGCAGCCGCATGAAGAAGCGCGAAAACAAAAGGCGCCGCGCGGCAGGAAAAATCCTAATTACTGAATTCCTAAATTCCTATTTAATGCGAAAAAGCAAAAAGCACGAATTCCAGAAGGAAAGTCCAAAAACTCCGAGAGCCATCGGGGGGGGCTCGGCAAAATTCGAAAAAGACTCAAAGGAAAGATTCAAAAGAATGAAGCAATTTCCCGCTCGATGTCCGCGCCCAAAAGATCGAAACCGAAACGAAAGAAATGACGTCAACATTTATTAATCGTGCGCGCGGTGGCGCGCCAGACATCCATCCGACCAATCACTCAGCCGGCCGTCCCAAGACACACCCAGCTCCGTACCCAGTCATCCGACAAGAAGCGACGAAAAAGACGAAAAAGCAAGGGTACTGATGCAACTTTCCATCGATCCTGATTTCCCGTAATTGGCCCAATCTTCCCAGCTTAGGACCCCTCGTGGCAACCGCGCAGGAAGTCGCGCGTTACAGAAAGTTTTCGTCACAACCCTATCCATCCCCACGTTAATACTCCCAGTGCACCCCCTGCCCCTAATATCCTACCTCAATGTGACCAGCAGTCAGGACCATCGCCCTACTAGTATAGAGGGCAACTTGGTCCAGATAGCAGTGACAAGCACCAAGGCTGGGCCAACCTCCCAGCCCTGATGGAAGCGGAAGCGGACGAACCTTGCCGTACGGGAACTTCGGACGCCAGGCTCATGCAATCTTCTACAGGCCCAATTCAGAGAGTCTACCCAGCAGGATTACCTACGCAAGGCAGGTCAATGCCCACAGACACATCCTACCGTCCTTTCGCGAGCTTACCCATGGCTAGGCGGAGGTCAGACTAGCTGGAGCGACTTATATCCCTACCCCTACCCTAGAGCTAAGCCATGCATGAGTAGACCTCGTCATATACCTGATAGACCCCCTCAGCCCAGTATCGTAATTTGTGTATATGTGTGTATGCCCAGAGGCTATCTATGTTTTGTATGAGCCCATAGGGCCATGTGGTTTTGTATCTGCCCGAAGGCTCTGTGTGCTCTGTGTACCTGTATAGCGAGATGTATGTGCCCGAAGGCCAGATATGTGCAGTGCTATGTAGAGGGAACTACGTGTTCGTTTGACGAGATGACAGGCCAAGCTGGACAAGAACCCCCCCCAAAGTCCCCAGCCAGACTCGAACCCGTGATTTCCTTTTTTTTTATTTATTATTATTATTATTATTATTTTTAAACAAAACGACCCAAGATGATGCTAGGGGTGCTGATAGGACCAGACGCCACTAGCAGTCTTGGGAGGGCTCCATCTATTGGTGGGGAGCAACACCAGCTGGAAAGCGGGTCCAGCATCCCTGATAATTGTAATCAATTGTTTGAACAGTTATAAATGCGCAGGCACTCGGTGATGGGCAGCATTGATTGCCTTCGAGTGAGGGGATTGACTGCCCATCAAACCCTAGGACCATTACCCTGCCCTATTCAACTACTATCCAGTACAGTAAGAAGGGGAAAGATCCGGACGAGGTTTGGCTTCTACTTCTGCAATTCTCTACCCAGTGTTGCCAGCGCATGTGTCTCCCCTAAAGCACTAATTAACAAAAACCCGCTCAATAGGGGAGAACACCGGTTCAAAAAAGAAATTGAAATTGCAAAAGGATGAAAGAGCAGCCTCAGATAAGACTCCTACTCTTCCGCCCTCTCCACGTGGGCGGGACCAAGCGACTCACCCTAGAAACAACCAGCAAACCCTTGTAACATATGCAACAACACCTCTCCCTGGCCCGCCACATGGCGAATACTTGTGTTCATAGTAATTGGATTGCCCATCAATATTCGTAAAGGGCAATCAATTCCACTCAGGCGAAATCAAGCACATACAAACGTTGATCCCTGTCGACAGAACCAGTGGGAGGTCCTATCCCTACCCCACCCCTTCGCATCACCACTGTGCACCTTTCCACACCACCCTTTCAATAATCAGCGGCCAGAACAGAGAAAAGAAGGGGGAAAGAGGAGAAAAGAGGCGTCGCTCATCCCTCGACGCGCTGACCGCATTATTATCATTATTGTCGTTGTTGTTGTTGTGGATGTCGATTTCGCCAGTCACCCTATCTATGTTGTGATCGTTGTTATCGTTGTTATTGCTGTTATTGCCGCCATCAGTGTTGTTATTGTTGTTGTCAACTTGTTGAAGCTGATGGAACCGCCGATCTCGCCAGTGTCAGAATCACCATCACTAGAACTGGCGTCCTCTGCGTTATCGTTGTTGTGGTTGTCGTCATCGTTGTTATTGTTGTTGTCGTTACCGCTTTTGCCCGCACACGATCGTGAGATCACACCGTCGATATCGCTGCTGGTGTTGTTGTTGTTGGTGTTGTTATAGCTGTTGATGCTGCCAATCTCGCCGGTGTAAGAATCGTCATCGAAGGGACCGGCAACTGCTGCATCGATATCGTTGTTGTTGTCATTGTTAATGATGTTTTTGTTTCTGTTTTCACCGATGCATGGACATCCTACCGCTTGCATATGAAGGGGATGACGGCGATTCTTCCTTGTCCTCCACATCGAGCTGAGCATACCAGCGCTCTGTTGACACAACACACAGTGCTTGCCCCTCCTCAAGGACTGCGTAGCAGTGTTGCATCAAAATCTCTGCCTGTCGCTGGTCAATGAACCTTGCCAAATAAGAAGCTGGCCCCTCCTCCAGCTTCGTGATGATGTGCAGAAGGCTCTGCAACATGCTCTGGTGTGTGAGATATGGTAGTGCGTCCCCGCCATTAGTCACCATCCTCATCTCATCCACTTTCTGTCGAAGAAGGTCGTGACTCGTCTGAAGAAGCGAAAGCCACTGGGCTGCACCCTGAAGTAGAGCAGCAGTCGAGTCCATTGGCGTCGTTGACTGCGTTGACCACGTTGACCATGTTGCTGTCGTGGCAAAACCTCCCGTCCACGTCGCGACTATTCTTGTTGGCTTTTCTCTTGTATTGCTCCCGAATGATCACTGGTTTCTCCGCATCGCACGTTTGCCACATGGCACTTTGCCACTCCAGCTTTTGCAAGCTGGGGACGGCGATGCTCAAGCCATGGGGTGACGGGCAGCCAATGCAGCTCCCTTCCCCAGGCTTGCGCGTCTCCTAGCGGACGGGCCTTGCCGCCCTCGGGTCGCTAGGTG